TCCTCTGCATTAGCAACGTTCTCATCTTCTCTCCAAGGGTCCTGTTCATTCTCTCTACCCGTCCATTTTGTTTGCTGTTGTACCCTACGGTGGTTTGCCACTCTATGCCCTTTTCTAGCGACCATTCTAATGCATCATTGCTTTTCCATTCTGTTCCTTGATCGGATCGGATCGCTTTTAGCTTCCGATCCGTCTGTGTCTCCAGGAACGAAACAATCCTTTTAAGTTGCATAAAGGCATGACTCTTTCGTGTCAATGGCTGTGCATACACATACTTGCTATGATCGTCGACCAGCACCAACGTGCATGTGTACTCCGTCACGTGGGACGAGTCTATTATTAGATCGACGTGGATAAGATCCAGGGGCCCTACGGCTCTCTCGCCGCTACCTTTCCCCATCCGAGCGCTTGTGCTCTTGGATCGTACGCACTGCTCACATGTCAGAGCGGTGTTTGGATCCAATTTCATGGTATGCTTATCCTTTAACTTGTTTGTGATCGCCTTAGCTTTATCTCTTCCTGGGTGCCCGAGACGCTCATGCCATAGTTGTTGCTTTGAAACTTTCGGCTCATTCTTAATATGCTCGAACTCCTCATCAACACCTTCAAACAATGGTGCTGATGTGGCCATCGCGCTTTCTTGCCATGTGTCGCCTCGGAACTCCAGAAGTCCTCGCTCGCGATTCTTTGCAATCTTAAGTGTCATGCCGTTTGTTAGAAAAATTTGGCCGCCGGTTGTGTCCAATATCACTCGTGCTCCTTCATCCGTTAATGAATTTGTTGACAGAAGGTTAACATTAAGGTGCTTTACATACAATACATTTTGCAGAGAGATTTCCCCGTAATCTGTTGATATGCTCGCATCTCCTATAGCTGCCGCTTCCAAGACCTCGCTTCCGGCGGTAATTATCCGCTTTCGGCAAGTTCTCGGGTGAATGAGCATGCTGTAGTCGTTCACCATATGATAACTCGCCCCCGAGTCCAAGATCCAATGAGCTGTTTCTTTTGGGTTCGAGGGGTCCTGCCATTTCATTGGGAGGGTGAGGGAGCACCACGCTTCCTATTTGGGTTCAGCGAGGGGAGAGTCCTTGGGAATGGTAACCAAGGCGTCGCATTGACTGATACCATGTCCCGGTCGCTTGCAGATCCAGCATCGGATTCGGCGTGGTTTGCTTGCGTTCCTCGGGCTCGCGTGGCTGTTGTCGGCTTCGGCTTCGGTCTCTCCGGCCCGTTCATTTTGATCGTCGTTGCCGGCGGTTCTAGCGCTGGCTTGTCGGGGGTCAATCCTTTGTGCGGGGACACTCTCGACAGCAGTCTGCCGGATGCTTAATGCGGTGGCAAGGGCGTTGAAGTCGATTTGATGGACGGTGGCAACCGTCTCCTTGTACACCGGATGCCGGATCGTGCATTTCTGCAGGGCCGAGAACAATGTATCATCGGTGAATGGTTTTCCGAGGAGACTGCTTTCAGTTTGTATGGACCGGATCTCTTGGATTAGCTTTCTGGCATCCGAGTGAAACATCTTTGCAACGTTGAGTTGCGAGATAAGCGCAAGTCTGTGGGACGTCTTGGTGGCTTCATTCGTGAGACCGTTTTCGATCTTTCTCCATACTTGGTTGAAAGTAAGGTACTCCTTGATTACATCTAGAACGAGGTAGTTTACATTGTGTTCTCCGGTAGTATCGATTGTTCCACGCAGGGCGTTAATTAAAGCATCGTCAAGGGAGCGGCTCCATTTCGGGTGTTTCTTGTCGTACGTTCCCTCGAGATGTTTCATCGCATGAGGCACGGATCGGAGGAAAGATTTCACGTGAGCGCTCCAGCTATGGTAGTTTCATGACGTGAGCTTTGGCACAGGTTCAAGGAGCTTTGCTAGGGTGCGAAAGTTATATCGCTTGTCGCCATCATCAAAGTCGGAGTCGGAATCGGTGTCTCCGTCGGCTTCATCGTTGATGGCCTCCGGCTCGTTCTCGCTCGTGGCATTATTGTCGACCCGAACCTGGGTGTTCTTGCCTTTTCTGCTTCCTTTAGTCCTCGTTTCGGTGTCTTCTACCATGGTTGTCGGCGAGTTTTCGGTTAGCTCGGTGATAGCTTCTTCAGACTTTTAATCAATTGAAGATAACAATTAATATACGGCGTTATCGGGGTCACGATCAGACTCCCTTTGCCACAGCCGTATGTTCTATGTAATGCTTAGTTTTCTTAGTGTGAGACTAAATGACAAACACATATATATACTCCATTCACTGCTCTGATCCCATCCGAGGCAGGGTGTGTTCCTTCATTTGTACCCCTGTGTTGCTATGATACCGGGTGCCACTGTGCTGTCACCATGACAACAATTGCGTACCTCATTGTGCTCCTCGCTTATGTGAGCCTCCCGTATCTCGATGTCTCGGCCGTAACACGTGCACCTTGCTTGAGATGCCGACGCATCTTCAACTCAAACCCCTGCCAAGGCTCAACCTTTTGGCCCGCCCCTGAGCTATCATTGTCTGCGTGCTAGCAAGCGTAGGTCTTGTTACATGCATTAGGCTTGCACTCATGACGGTGTGCACGACCGACCTTCCACCTTGGTCTTCAAGGCAAGAGGATCGAACTGTTCGCCGTGCAGCAGACTTTGAAATGGCCGAGGTCGGAAGGTCTATTCGAGTCCAGCCTCTGCGTTACAAATCAAGTCAATGATATCTACAGGCGAGAAAGAGATTATTATTATTATTATTATTATTATTATTATTATTTTTTTTTTAAACCAGTTTGGTGTGGCAGAGAGAATTTTCAAGCCCGGCTGCCTCTCTTGCTTGCTCGCTGCCAGAGAAGGGCAAAAGATGCATCTTTTACTTCTCTTACCTGCATCGTGGATCCTCAACTCCGAAAGAGCTGCAGTTCGCCTTCGTCTGAAGCTGATTGTTGAAGCAGAGACCGCAGCAAACGCAAGTCGAAGACTGCAGGAAACAGGATGCGGAAAGCACAGATGGTGGCCCACTCGCTTCCAGTTGGCGAGCTTGTTTAGTGTGTCAATGTGGACCCGGTCGTTGGTCGGTCAGAAACGAGGTGCAAAAAAAGGAGCAGCAGCATCTCAACGGTAAGAGGCCGTGGAAAAGGGCAAGAAAAGGTCGAGAGCCGTGCATACCTTTTGCAAACCCTTCTCAGCGTCACATTTATGATGCTGTTGAGCGATTAGAACCGATACCTTGGTCACACAAGGATACCGACAGTCACCAGCTTCAAGAAGGAGGAGAAACGAACTTCCATATCTTTGAACAACTGGCAAAGGCCGGTTAACATTTTCTTGTTTTCGATACATCTTTGCGTCGGTTGAACCACGAGAAGTTTGAAATCAGAAAAAGGTTGTTTCGATATCTGACAGGCGTGGCTGTCGATCCGTGCGTGGTTCTGACACCGAGGGGCACTAGAGCCCTCTCCACAGATACTGACAAAAAAAGCCCTTAAATTCTTGTTGCCCACGCACGCCACTTCCAGGGTTTTGCCCAGATGAAGGGGTTCACTTTTCGACTGACCGCTGATCTGTTGCCCTTTAATTCTTTTTCTATTCTTTGTTTGAGGCGCATTGCAATTGACTGCCTATTCAAAATGAGCCTTTCCACCATGTTGCAGCAGGCTGCAGCAATGTTTTGCCTTCGTTCGAAGCTCCGTACGCTCCATTTCGCCCCTGTCCAGCCCCACCACCTTGATTCCCTTTCCGAGACGGCTTTTCAGCAAGAGAAGAGAAAAAAAAAAAAAAAAAAAAAAAAAGAAAAAAAAAAAAGAACTTGTCCAGCAGCCGCATCTCAAATGCCTGCCGATTGGCCAAGAGTCTGCGAGATATGAGCATGACCTGTCGTTGTCTGCTTCTACTTCTTCTTGAGTCCGACGTCGGTCAGCTTGCTTGACTGTTCAGAGATGAAGCCTTTTTGCCTTTCCCGTCAGTCAACTGAAACGTGTGTTGGTGTGGTTTGGTCTGGTGTGGTTTGGTCTGGTCTAGTCTGGTCTCTTCTTTTTCGCTTTTGTTCGGTCCTTCCGACATCAGCACCAACCCTCGCCGCCCTCTGGGATTTCGCCTGCTGTTCAGTGATTTGGGCCCCATTTCTCTTCATGCTTGGCATCCTTTTGTCGCTTTGAAGCTCTGAAGCTCTGAAGCCGTTGAGAGACTGTGTTCAAAGGCCCTTTTTGCTGTGTGTGTTTGTGTGTGTGTTGTGATTCTAATCTCTCCAGCCCGTCGCCGCTTCCGCCCTCTTTGTCTCAAAGCCCCCGAAACGGATCGTGAACGGACCTGACCTATCCCTCTCAGAGTATATAGTCGCTCAACCTCCTCAGCTTGATCTTCCAACCTTCCTTTCTCTCACCTTTCACCCTACACCTCCATCCGTCCCTCCCTTCCATTCGTCCGTTGTCCGCACGGTAAAAGAGATTAGGCACAAGCGCCGTCTCACTCCCACAACAACAGCAACAGCCCTTTCGTCTTTTCGACAGTCGAGAGCAAGCTTTTCTCTTCCCTTCCACACACGCAGTTTCGCATCTAGCCCAGAGCTTGAGCGAATTTGAGTGAGAAGTTCAACGACAGGGTAAGTCTATCCTCTTTTGCACGATGCTCACCGGCTTCTCCACTTTTGCTTTGTTTCGCAGGTCGCATTCAGTTTGGCAAAGCGCGAGAGGGGCCAGTGGCATTTAATGAAAACACAATGCAAACAGGCTTCATTGCCTCACATAATGCAAACAGGCTTTGCCTTGTCAGAAGTCTCTTGATTCGCTTGGAGTCGGCCACCGACAGAGAGAGCAGATATGAAGTTTTTGCCTTTGCAAGCCGTGTTTCTCCCACTTTCTCATCCCCACCTTTAGGAGCTCCGTTGCTGACCTATTCAATCTGCTTCCTCTCTGCTCTTTCTCTGCCTTGCCCATAAATCTGCTCTTCCGCATCTTTAGAATCAACCACTTCCTGCTTCTTCCCGTGTATTCCCTTTCCTTCCTCCCCCTTCCCCACCTCCTTACACTAGCCCAACATGTCCGAAGTTGAACAGGAAAAGAAGGTCACCAAGCACCGAGACATCGATGCTGAACACGCCGCCGAGAGCGGGCCCAAGCACGCTCTCGTCGACATGAGCACCATCGAGCTCAAGGCCGAGGACCTTTACGACAAGGCCAAGGTCGACATTGAGGCTATCGAGCTCGAGGATGTCTGGACCCTACTCCAGTGCAACGAAGGTGGTCTCACCGAAGAGGAGTGCGCCCGTCGTCGTGGCATCTTCGGTCCCAACAAGATTGAGACCGAGGAGCCCAACCCTATCCTCCAGTTCTTGTCCTTCATGTGGAACCCTCTCTCCTGGGTCATGGAGGGTGCCGCTATTGTCGCCATTGCTCTTTCCAACGGTGAGGGCAAGGCTCCCGATTGGCCAGACTTTGTCGGTATTGTTCTTCTTCTCTTGATCAACTCTACCATCGGTTTCATCGAGGAGCGCAACGCCGGTAACGCCGTCAAGGCTCTTATGGACTCTCTTGCCCCCAAGGCCAAGGCTAAGCGTGATGGTAACTGGGTCGAGATCGAGTCCGCTGATCTCGTTCCCGGCGATGTTATCGCTTTCAAGCACGGTGATATTGTTCCTGGTGATTGCCGTCTCTTTGACGCTATCACCGTTTCGTGTGACCAGGCCATGCTTACTGGTGAATCGCTTCCCGTTAACAAGAAGGCCGGTGACCAGTGTTTCTCTGGTTCCATCTGCAAGATGGGTGAAGCCGAGGGTGTCGTCATCTCCACTGGTGCCAACACTTTCTTCGGTCGTGCCGCTTCGCTCATTGGCTCTGACGACGAGTCCACCGGTCACTTGCAGCAGGTTCTTTCCCGCATCGGTCTTTTCTGCATGGTCACCATTGGTGTCTTCATCGTCCTCGAGATTCTTATCCTCTACGCTGGCTTCCGTTACCGATACCGCCGTGGTATTGACAACATCCTTGTCCTCTTGATCGGTGGTATTCCCATTGCCATGCCCTGTGTGCTTTCCGTTACCCTTGCTGTCGGTGCTCAGCAGCTCGCCAAGCACAAGGCCATTGTTACCCGTATCACTGCCATCGAGGAGCTTGCCGGTGTCGACATTCTCTGCTCCGACAAGACCGGTACCCTCACCACCAACAAGCTTACCATCGACCTCGAGCTCGTCAAGCTCTACTCGGACTGGGCCGGTGTCCAGGATGTCATCCGATTCGCTGCCTACGCTTCGCGTGTTGAGAACCAGGATGCTATCGACGGCACCATTGTTGGCACCCTCAAGGACCCCGCTGAGGCTCGTGCTGGTATCAAGCTCCTCGATTTCAAGCCCTTCGACCCTGTTGCCAAGCGTACCGAGATCACCTATCTCGAGGAGTCGACCGGCAAGATGAAGCGTGTTACCAAGGGTATGACCTCTGTTATCATCGACCTCTGCAAGCGCAACAAGACCGATGCTCAGGAGACCGCTCTTGAAAACGACGTCGAGGAGTTCGCCAACCGTGGTCTTCGTGGTCTTGCCGTCGCTTTCGAGGAGGTTCCCTCCGGCGAGGTCGAGGCTGAGGGTAACGGTTTCGAGCTTCTTGGTCTTCTTGCTATCTTCGACCCTCCCCGTCACGACACCAAGGAGACTCTCGACAACGCCCAGGCCCTTGGTGTTCGCGTCAAGATGGTCACTGGTGACCAGCTTGCTATCGCCAAGGAGACCGGTCGTCGTCTTGGTCTTGGTGACCGCATGTTCAACTCCAAGGTTCTCGTTGACAACGCTCTTCCCCCTGGTTCTCCTTACAAGTCGCTCGACGAGATGATTCTCGATGTCGATGGTTTCGCCGGTGTCTTCCCCGAGCACAAGTACGAGATCGTCAAGCGTCTCCAGGGTCTTGGTCACTTGACTGCCATGACTGGTGACGGTGCCAACGATGCTCCCGCTCTTGCCCGTGCCAACGTTGGTGTTGCCGTCGAGGGCGCTACCGACGCTGCCCGTGGTGCTGCCGACATTGTGCTCACCGAGCCTGGTCTTTCCACCATTGTTGAGGCTATCCGTCAGTCGCGTATCATTTTCGGTCGTATGAAGAACTACGCTGCCTACGCCGCCGCCATCACTATCCGTGTCGTCGTTGGTTTCGCTCTCCTTGCCTTTATCTGGAAGTCCGATTTCCCTCCCTTCATGGTTCTTATCATTGCCTTCTTGAACGACGGTTCCATCATGACCCTCTCGCTCGACACTGTTAAGCCCGCTCTTGAGCCCCAGCACTGGGACCTTACCGAGCTCTTCTTCTGCGGTTCGCTCTACGGTCTTTATCAGGTTGCTTCGACCCTTGCACTTTACGCCGTCATCTACGAGACCACCTTCTTCGAGGATACCTTCGGCGTTACCCCTCTTCACGGTAACCCCAACGACCCTCGCATCCACATGATTATCTACCTCCAGGTCGCCATTCTCGCTCAGGCTCTTATCTTCGTTACCCGTTCGCACGGCTTCTCGTGGATGGAGCGCCCCTCGTTCGCTCTTATGGGTGCCTTCTGCCTTGCTCAGCTCATCTCTTCGATCATTGCTGCTTACGGGAACTGGGGCTTCACCAACGTTCGTGCCATCGAAGGTGGCTGGATCGGCATTGTCTGGGTCTGGAACATCATCTGGTACTTCCCCATGGACTTGGTCAAGTTCTTTGCCAAGTTCTTGCTCAAGAGCATCCGCTCCAAGAAGACCCCCGCCGCTGCCCACGAGAGCCTCAGCCGCACCACCTCGCGCGCCGAGAGCATGTACTCGAACCGAACTTCGTTCCTCAAGCGTGCTCAGCGCAAGGCTGGCTTCGGTGGTCAGAAGGTCCACATGTCGAGCACCGAGCTCCAGCGTCTTGGAAGTATCCAGGCCCAGGAGGCCTCGCGACGTCTCTCCAAGACCCAGTAAGCGGCTCGCACTGGCTTAAACAGCATTGGTTGTTCGATGTTGTCGCATGTGGTCGCTTCCTAATTTCCCTTATATTTTCCCGTTCTTGCTCCTTATTGCATATCCGCAGTTCACGCCTGGTATTACGTTCATCTTGAATGCATTGTTTCGTTATTCTAGACGACAGCTGACATGGCATTTGAACGTACGGTGCGAATCTCCAGTCCGGTGCCTGCCTCAGCGCTCACCAAGGGCTCTGAATACTGCATTCACCTGGTCAGCGCATCTCGTTTGGCTGATTGACGTATAGATGTCGCCAGCCACGAACGCGCTTGTCGCTCTCACTCAAACACACAGCATCTTGATCACACTCTTTGTCTCTCTCTTTATTCGCATCACTTATTTCTCTATTGCTACAGTATCGGTTCAATCATCAAACGACTCTGCGACTGTGAGAGATGTGGGCGATGACCAACGAGCTGAGATGAAAAGGGAATGCTGATCGGATGCTGCAGCAATTGACTGCGCGCCTAGACCCTGTATGGTGGTCTTGCTCGACGGCAAACTTGCAGTGTCCCTTCAACTCAGCAGTTTTGATTGCAACAAGCTCAATCTATGTCATAGGTTCAAGCTTCCTTGGCTATCAACAGCTGGCGCATCCATGCATAGGCATCAGAGACGGGCCGAAGGGGCAACTTCGTTGGCATTGGAAGCATTGGCGTTGGAGTACATCAAGATCTAGCCGAGAAGGAGGATGACGTCGCATCCCGTTGACGCCAAGTCGGCCATTACTCTCTCTGTTGCACTCAGTGTGCTAGCTTCTCAAGCGTGGTTGCAGTTTACGCCATGCGCGCCGACTTCAAGAGAGCACCACAGCAATGTATCAACGGAACACTGGCAGAGACGACGAGGAAGCTTGTGAGCTGGCATCGGGTGTTGTAGTCGCGCGTGCCGAGACCAACACTTTCCTCTTTTTGCTCTTCGGGTGAATTTTGCTTGTGCCACTGTTTGCCAGCGTTGACCCTTGACGTGCCTCGGCAAATGCACACTTGTCTCCCACGCGAGCATCCCTCCCTCTCCCCTTTCAGCATCCTACCCTCTAGTCTTTCTTGAATACTAGCGTCGCTCAATCGACCAATACATAAGGTGAAAGGGTACACGAGCAGCCTACCTTGCTAGCGGATCGATGAGCGCAAGGAAGAGAAAAAAATAAGCCACCAACAACGAAACAGTGGTTGTTGAAGCAGCAAGAAAAGTGTTGGTCTCCGAGTCGGACCTTTCAAACTGCCAAAAGAAGAGAAGGCTTTCGCTAATGCCTTCTTCCTCTCCGCAATTGCCTTTTTGGACCCTTTGAATGCTTGGCTGCCCCTTGACTGAGGAATTGAGACGCTTCTTGCTGCCTTGGCCGGTCGTCGATCTTTGTCTCAGTTGTCGAAGAGTTCGCAAACAAAATGCACTGCAGCCGACCTACAGGGCTGATACGCGAGTTTGTAATCCTTGGTCGTGCTGCAATAGATGCTGTTGTGGTCATGCGGATGGTGATGAGGGTGGCATGGAAACCAAGTAGGGCAGATGAGGGTGGTAGGAGGATGCGGCAACTAAAAGATACATGGCCGCAACGACTACTGGCGAGAGGGTCGGGCAACTTTGTTAGACACCGAGAGAGCGTAGAGTGCAATGAAGTTGGGCACTATGACCCGGGTTCCCAACTCCGGCTTTTCGAACCAGAGATACAGCGAGGACGATCGTTGATCTTCATTGCAGTCGCAAAGGTTGATATAACGACGGGTCAAGATTCGGGTCCATCAAGTCTTTATCCATCATCCTCCATCGTCCGCTCTTGTATGCGGAAGCTTCATCCCTCTCCTCCATCCACGTCCTTGCTAGACTGTACTTGATATCGCATCCCTTTCCGACACCACGCTCTTCATTCGACCTCATCGTCCCTCAACTCTCATCTCGTGGCGTGCTCAGACCTCCGCAACTATGAAACTCACCACCTCCCTTTTCGCAGTGGTCGGCGCGCTGGCCGTGCTCACACCTCTCTCCGCCGCCACTTCTATCGACTCCACCACAACCGACAACCTTGCCATTCGCAGCAATGACCTTGAGCCACGGGGAACCGAGGGCAAGTGTCTCGAAAGACACCGCAAACACCACCACAAGAAAGGCAAGAAGAGTAAGAAGGCCAAGCAGCTATCAGAAGAGCTTCCACAACATCACAAGCAGAAGACTAGCTCGACAGGTCCCAGCGACGACTTTAGCATCTCAGCTGTTCAAAAAGCTACACAGGAATCCATGAAGGCAGAAGAAGCTGCTTTAGCTAGGAAGACAAAGGCGGAGGCTTTGGGGAAGGCAGCCCTCGAGAGGGCCAGACAGGCTTCGGAGAGTTTGAAAAATTCCAAGCCCAAGACGACAACCGGTGGCTCGAAAGGTGCAGGTGATTCGAGCCAAACTCCCGTCATGTCAAAGCCCTCCACTGGCGGCTCTACTGGCTCTTCCGGTTCTACTGGTAGTACAGGATTCACCGGTTCTACTGGTTCTACCGGCTCTGCGCCCTCCGGCTTCGCCTCAACCATTCTCAAACTGCACAACGATTATCGTGCCAGACACTCCGCCCCCGCTCTCGTATGGGACTCTACCGTTGCCTCTGCCTCCGCTTCTTGGGCAGCTGGCTGCAAGTGGGCCCACACGCCCAACAACCCTTACGGCCAGAACATTGCAGCAGGTACAGCCCCGCAGTTTGGCGCAACAGACTCAGCTACAATGTGGTATGACGAGATCAAGCTGTACAACTTCGTATCGGGTGTGTATAGCGATGCGACGGGACACTTTACTCAAATGGTCTGGAAGTCGAGTACGAAGCTGGGTTGTGCGATCAAGGAGTGTAGCGCAAGTCAGATGGGGTTGGGCAGTAGCGGAACGGCAAGGTATGTCGTGTGTAATTATGATCCTCCTGGAAATTACTTGGGGAGATTTTTGCAGAATGTGCTCCTCAACTAGGTAGAGGAGGAGAATAAGGAAAGGAAGGGATTGGTGCAGGCTCATCGGTCTCTATTGGAAACAAGGCTGGCCCTTGCTGTGTCGCTAGTGACAAAAATTTAGCTTGGTTCGATGTAGCATTAAAGGCATTCGTAGATGTAGTTTCTTACATGTAATCTCTTCGGAACAACACAGCAGGACATGTGCTTTGTGAATGTGTGCATGCGTGAGAGGATTCAGGTGATGGCTTGGCAGATGATCTCTCATTCGACAAACAAAGAGGGTCACAACTTTCACACCGAAGCAAAGCATCGAGACAAAGGGAAGAAGCGTGACGGACCCCCGCTGCTCTTCTTAGAGTTCGGAATTGGGATCGACATTTCCCACACTATGCCATTGCGACAAAGGGCTTGACAGCACCACGTGATCAGAAGGCCCTGCCGAAGGCGTTGCCGAAGGCGTTGCCGAAGGCGTTAGTTCCCAGTCAAGTGTATTGTCCAGAGTCAACCGAGCGGCCCTCTCTGCAAAGGTAGCACGACAGGGCCCGAGCAAAGGTGGTTCTTGAATGAAGACGCGGACCTCAGAAGGCTTGAGGTGCAGATCTATGTCCTAAGGCGGTTGTGGCGCCAATCATGTGCAGTAGCTTTCTCAGAGCGGTTGTGATTGTGCACTCGAAAGCTCACACGCCTCTTCCGCCTCTTTCGGTGCTGCCTGGATCGACCAAGCACTGGTAGAGAGAATCTCAGCCTAGAAGAGGGACATCTGACACGGTCTGTGGCCCCACCTTTTAGAGTACCGCGAAGAGGTGACACATGGAACACGTGTGGCATTTCAGTCTCCACAGATGTGCCCAGTCAGACACGCATACTTAAGCCTGGTCCCGCCTTTGAGTCACTGAGATGTTCACTTCTGAGTTTCGAGACGTTGCTCTTCACCCGCCATCATCTCTCCTGGACCCGTCTCGAGCCGGCTCGTTCATTTGGACCACGTTTCGTTGGATGTCAGGGCACCCACTCTGGGCCGACAAGAGCACAGACTAGGCCTTAGACTCGCCTATCAGAAGAAACAAGCTTCTCAGCATCGCCTACACTTGCGCTATCGTATTGGAAACGGTGCGGGGCTGCGTTTCCGGTGGAAAGTTTGTATGTTTCGTGTAGGAGTTTCACCGGATATAACGCCAACGCACCCACACACACACACACCCACACACACAACAGCGGTACAGCTTGATTTACAGGCTCGAATTCGGAAAAAGCAACCGGAGAGCAAGGGAAGTTGGACCCTGCTTGCTGCTGTTGCTGCTGTTTGCTTGACGTCCTTTTCCTGCACAGTCTCGGCTAAGAGGGAATGGCGAGTATTCATGCTTCAATGGCATACTTGGCCGTTGACGACTCGCATGCTTCTACTTCGACATCATCAAGCGCACTGGCTATGCACACGCCAGCTATTAGGCGCAAGGATCACCTTGATATAAGAGCCGTTTCCCATAAGCTTTCGATAGCTTCACTCCGACCACCACAACACTCGCCAGAGACAACAAAACAATTCAGAGGAGAGGTAGAATCAGGTTGCGAATCCAGCAAGACTCTTCGTAAAGCTCGTTCCTTGTCATCTGGTGTCCGTCGGCTCTCTAAGCACTTCAGCTTGAGCCATACAGCGCTTACGACTAAGCCGCCACCACCACTGCCACGCAACGACTTCATTTGTGGGACCACCGGACCCAGCACCCACAGCAGCTACTCGAAGAAGTCAGCTTCATCCAAAGGCTGGTTCTCTTCTCCGTACTTTTCCAATCTTTCCTTGTCTTCTTCGTACAACTCGTCACCGACGTCCTCATTCGGTTCTTCGTTTGCTTCATCGGAGTCCTCCCTCGTCTTCCCATTACATCCTGACTTTGAGCTAGAACTCGACATCGCGCTAGAGATGGCGCCGCACGAGCTGGGATCGGCTTGGAGCCATGACTCATACAATGCTATGCAGTATCTGCGTGCTCGCACTCCATACCCGCCAACGATGACCGAGACTGTGTTTGACTACCATGCACAAGGCGACAAGACCTCTTCCGGCAAGAGCCAAGACCGATGGCAATCAGCCCTTGAACTCGGTTGCGGTCCTGGTCAAATGTCGATCCATCTCGCAACCCGTTTCAGCAAAGTATACGGCCAAGATCCGTCCCCGAACATGCTTAAGCTTGCAAACACCGTCAAGCATATGTCAGCGGAAGAGCTAGCCGAGGTCAAACTTCCGCCCGTACACAACCCGGAAAGGATCCAGTTCAGCCAGGCTCGTGGAGAGGATCCTATCCTACCTTCAGGTGAGAAAGTGGACCTTATTATGATGGCAGCCTGCATTCATTGGATGGACTGGGAGACTCCAGAGTCCAGCAAAGCGAACTGGACCAAGTGGTCGCAATTGCTGAAGCCAGGTGGATCGCTGATCGTGGCAGGTGGCCGACCTGTGATCGGGCCTTATACGGGAGAGAAAGGAGATCAGATCCGACCTTTGCGAGATTGGCTCATGGACTTCCCTTTGGACCTGCCCGAGATCAATAAATACTACAGCACGGGCAATTCGGCTATAGAAGAGCTACGCAAAGGAGGACTGTATCGCAAGCTTCGCATGCCCTGGACTCTCGAACCCCAGCTGGCAGAGCTGTGGGACAGCTCTTCATACCTCTGGATCCCGATCGACGACTGTACAGTTCTCGGGGACAAAGCTACTTCTGCTAGACAGTTCCAGGTTGACGATCCTGAAGAACTGGCGAACCAATTCAAGGATCTTCCAGACTGGGTGAGACCGAACGTTAGAAGAGCAGCACAATGCGATAATTCGCAAGGTGATCTGTTGATCTCGATGACCACACCGCGGAAGATGGCTGATTGGGTCCGATCGACGTCGGCCTATCTGAAGTTTATGCAGGATCATCCGGAGCAAAAGACACTTAGTCTGCAGTGTGAGGACGTGGCTGCAAAAGAGATCCAGAAGGTCTGCGAGAAGATTGGGATCGACTATGATTCTCAGATCGAATGTCACCACAGCGGTGCTATACTTTGTGTCAGAAGGAGTGAGAAGGAGTTTTGATCTGCTGGAAAGATCAGCGTCTCACTGCTTCACAGGCCTTGGTGAAAGTCGCTTCTCTCGCTTCTCTCGCTACAGTGCTCCCTTTCTTTCCTTGCTAATAGTTCCGTATCAAATTCGTTCTTGCTAGTTCTGCATTGCTCCCTCTGTCTACGTACATGTATCATCAGTATTCCTCGTTACAATTTGCTATCGTGTAATTACATGATTGCCGTTCAAAGTATCTCTTCTGTCTGACAAGAGAGGATGTGAATACGGCGTGACTGAGAGCGGCTGTAGAGCGCGTCTTGTCCTGCACCGCGACTTTTCAAGAAGAAGCTTTGCATTTTTTTGACGCTGGAGAGGTAAGGCGACGTGGAGGTGCTTCTTCGGCAACATCGTTGATGCTGCTCGAGGCATTATTACTTGCGAGTCGGGGCTTGCCGACAACTTGATCTCCTTATATACATCACATCGGCCTCGCATCAGCCACGCCGCACCAGGTTTCAGGCTTTTCCCAGAGCAGTCGCTTAAGCAGGACTGCTGAAAACGTGCCGGCCTCCTTTCTTCGGCCCGCCCGACAGCATATCTTCAGCATCTCAGCCGCTTCGAACCACCGAGCAAACGACAGCTTTCACATCGTTATGTCAACTCAGCATCAATAGCTCAAGCTCTGAATCGACGCCGAAGCTCGCTGAAGCTGGCTTTTGCCAAGGTCGGATTCAGCGGATGCCAGCGCGACTCAGCATGCCGTCTACTTGCGCAGCAGCATCCGACCATCAGCAGCCCGTCCTGTTGCCAGTCGGAGCTGTCTGCGAGGTCGTCGAAGCAGGCAGCGGTACATGGCATCCAGCTACCATCATCTCACGTCGGTCGGGTAGCTCTTCCAATCCACCGCCGGGAGCCGACACAGACAATGTGCAATATTACATCCATCGGCATGACCAGGACAAACGCATGGATGGCTGGGTCGACCACGCATCCGTTCGGCCCTTATCCGCCCCACATCCTCTCGTCGATCCGCATTCGAAACCGCCGAGAGGCGCCAATGGCAACAATGAGCCTGTTCAGCGCACACCACATTCAATCGAAAAGGGCAAGAGAAAAGCCGACAACGAGCTCGAACAAGCACACGATGATGCAAGCCGTACTCCTTCTACTAGCCGACAGGCTTCTCCCGCGCTTCAAGAACGCAGCCTGAAACGCCGAGGAAGCCAGAGAGCATCATCAGACACACCAGCTTTGCGAAACATCGATCGAGTACTGTATGGCAACTTTGACATCAAGACGTGGTACTACAGCCCGTATCCGTTTGACCATGATGACGAAGGGGGAGACGGGTTAGCTTCGCATTCACCCTCTTCACATGCATCATCAAGTCACGCAGCCAGCAAACGATACCAATCGCCCTCTTCTCTACGACTAGGAGGCGGCTCAGCCGCTACCTCCAGGCGAGGAGCACGTAAAGATAGCCCCTCAAGTTCACTCGGTGGAGCTCTTTCCACATCAGCACGAGATGCCCCCGCCATCAGATCACTATCAGCCGCCGGTGGTGCCGAAGTGGCCTCTCCGTCCGGTCGTCAATCACCAGCCACAGCTTCGTCCACCTCTTCTCGAGCTCGCAAGGAAGCGGCAATCGCACCCACCAAAATGCTCTGGATCTGCGACGGATGCTTCAAATACATGAAAACCTACAACGGCTTCGCCCATCATCGCAAGTTTTGCCGCAACACCCATCCTCCTGGTCGAAAAGTCTACCAACGAGGCGCACACATCATTTGGGAAGTCGATGGTGCTGCTCAGAAGCTCTACTGCCAGAATCTTTCTCTGTTCGGGAAGCTATTCATCGATCACAAAACGATCTACTTTGACGTCGAACCGTTCCTCTTCTACGTGCTGACCGATGCAGCGAACGCTAGCTTTGACCATCCGTTGGGCTTCTTCTCGAAAGAAAAGGTCTCGTATGATGATTACAATTTGGCTTGTATCGTTACTTTCCCTCCATTTCAGAGGAAGAGCTTTGGCACGCTGATGATCGAGTTCTCGTACTACTTGTCAGCGAGGGATGGGATGTTAGGTACTCCGGAAAGGCCGCTGTCGGATCTAGGGTTGAAGGGGTATTTGTCGTTCTGGACAGCGGTGTCGTTCAGGGCGCTAATATGTTGCTTTGAAGGGCCATTGCGTCTAGCAATCGGTAGTACTGCGAAGCAGAGGAGAATGTCTTCTGCTCCGAAGCCAGGCGATGCTGCGGCAGATGCGGCTGGAGTGACAGATTCAAAGGCAAAGGCCGAGGACGCACTGCGGAAGTGGCATATCCTGCTTCAACGATCTAAGCTGTTGGACATTCCGCTGGACTCGATCTCGCTTCAGGCTGGATTTGCAGAGCTGCAAAAGCTGGCTTCTGAGGCAGAGGCTACAGACGCTCTCGACGGTCCAGTTTCGGGCTCGTCAGCTGCGGCAAAGAAGAGAAAGCTCAGGCTGAAAGGATGGGCCGGTAGCACACCTCAACGTGTTCTTTGCCAGCCATCTGCCGCTAATCAGACCGGGGCAGGCCCAGCAGCAGCAGACGGAATGGCAAGACGCTCCTCTCGAGTTGCCGCAAATGGAGGATCAGAGAAAGGAGAGGACGTTCACCCTGCACTGGACATCTCAAAGCTCGAGGAAGAACCATGCACAATGACAGTGACAGTGGAAGCTCTTTCCCGACTCACAAATCTGCGAGCCGACGATATTGTTTTAGCCCTCACAGAGGCAGGATTAGTGGATGCGTCCACCACGCCTTACCTCCCCACCACAGACGAGACTGTTTCGTTGCTACAAAGCGGATCAGACGCCACTTCGTCCAAAAGCTCGACTCGAACAAACGGTGATTCTTCACGAAAAGAAAAGCTAGCATTACTCCTCACGCGAGACGCAATCCGCGAAGCAATCACACGCTTCAACATACGTCCTGCAGTCCTCGACGAATCTTTCATCCTCATCTGATCCACTCACACGTCAAACAGTTCCGCACACACTCACATACTCTTGCAATCTAACCCTGTTACCAATTTGGCTTCTATTCGGATTTGAATTGCATCACTTGTCAGCACCTCTCCTCTCCAACCTAGCCAAACTCTCTGCAGCCTTGGCCTTTGCCACCTTCGCAAACGCCGGTTCACCCTCCACCCCAGTAGCCGTCTTGTACGCTTTCTGGAAATACACCCTAGCCTGACATTTGTCTCCAGCCATATCGCTCAACACACCCAAATTGTAGAGGAGGGTGAGCTTGACACCGAGACATTCGTGTTTGACTTCTTGAGTTCTTTCTTCTGTTGACTGCACCACTTCTTTCAATCCTGCGGAAGAAGAGGCTTCGAAACTGGCGAGTTGAACAGTTTTATCGGTGATATCGAGACCTTTGAGTGCCCATTTGGTTGCGTCTTTGATGTTAGAGGAGGAGAGGAGTTGGGAGAGATTGTTCATAATTAGGCCTGCTTTACATCTCTCGCTTGCTGTTGAGGAGCGGTTGTTGGCGGTATTGGTGGGTGGAAGGAGGATGGAGAGAGTTTGAAGGTAGAGGGGGACTGCATATTCGGGTAGACCTTTGCCGGCGTAGAATGTGCCGAGTGCTTCGATGGAAGAGAGCAGGTCGAGCTTCGTTACCCATGCTGGCAAATCCAAGTCCGCAAAGGAAACGGAAGTTGGTGGTGTCACGGAGTTCAATGTTCCTGCTCCACTTCCTTTCGCAGATTGCTTATCGGTAGAGTCCTCCGGCTGTCTAGCAGCAGAAAGTGCAAAAGCATGCACATCGGCCGGCAACACCAATCTAAACAGCTCCTCAACACTCCACACCAACCACCTTTCCGCCGGATCTTGTGATTCGGCTGTGCCAGTCAATGCAAACCTTACCGGCTTGCCATCGTCCCCATCCTGAGCTTGCCTTGCTTTGACCTTACTCAGCAACTCAACCCTTACCTCGGGCAACTGACCCAACAATCCCAACTTCTGCGCCAATTGCACACCCCTCATCCTGTCTCTATCTCCTCTCTTGTACTCTCCCTTTTCGTTCTGCACGACACTTGAGTATTTCCCTTGCTCCATAACTTCCTCCCAAACATCCTCCAGCACTTCATACGCCTCTCCCACTCTCCCTTCATTCTCTAGCAATGCAGCAAGTGCAATAGCGATACCAGAGATCTTGAGCATTGCCTCACCCCTCTGTCCCTCCGGCTGACCTTTGGGTGTAGGTGTGGGCTCATTCAGCTCGCCTTTAATGCTTCGGGCTGTAGAGAGAGCTTTTCGGAAGTAGGACTCTGCTCGGCGAGTATCACCACGATTACGAGCTTTGAGGGCTGCGCGGAGATCGTCACGGATAGAGACGGGCCATGCTGAGAAGGAGGTGTAATATTCATACAGACCAAAGGATGTTACGGCGATAGCGAGAGCAACGAGGGATGTGAAGAGGGTTCCGACGCGGACTGCACTAGGGCCGGTGGTGGAGGAGCGAGGTCGAAAGCCTGGTGTTGTGACATTGCCAACTTGCTTGGTGGGTTCCGTCGATGCTAATCGTGTTTGAAGTGATGCGTGTCGAGTGGTGAGAGTTGTACGAGTCAACGTAGGGCTCCACGTAGGGCTCGGGATAGTTTGAGATCGAAGGCTCGAGCGAGCAATTGCACGAGCAGCTATCGAAGCTGTTGTGAGCGAGGCCATGATTGCGATCTGATGACCGTTGGTGATAGTATGATGAAGAGAGAAGGAGTAGGGAACCAGGAAGACGTTGAAGGACTTAACTGACACAACAAAAAAGAAGCAAGCACTCAACAGCGGTGACTTTCTTCTTAGCGAAGCGCTTTCTCCAACTTTTTTTTTTTTGGTTTTGTTTTTTGCATCGACCGATATCTATCGAAATCGCCGATTAGGGTCAATTGGACATGACCGAAGTAGCCGTGCCTTTCTTCTCGCGTTGCTGTCAAGGTCAGCCTCCTCTAAATGTGAGGATGATAGCTCCCGAGCTTCTGACGAGCTCAACACCCTTCCCGACCTGACCTTCTTGAACAACGTCGACGTTTCCACCTGCTACCATTTCACTTCGCCAAGCATCAACACTATGTCAGTCGCAAGTTTCACTCAAGACTCGCTCGCAAAGGGCATCGAGTCCCTCCTCGCCTCTCTCCCCTCCGACCTATCAGCACTTCCACCTATCACCCCAACACCGACTCTCCCTACCACCGAATCCTCCGTCTCAGCCCTTATCGACCACACCCTCCTCGCACCCAACGCTGCCTTGGAGCAGATCTCATCCATCTGCGCCGAGGCCAAACAGTACAACACAGCCACAGTCTGCGTCAACTCCTCCATGATCCCTTATGTCGCTCAACATCTCTCTGGCTCCTCTGTCCTACCTATCTCGGTCATTGGTTTCCCATTCGGCTCAGCCAATACCGCTTCCAAAGTCCTCGAAGCCAAGATCGCGTGCCAAGAAGGCGCTAAAGAGATCGATATGGTCATTAACATCGGTCTTCTCCGCTCCCAACGCTATCTGGAAGTGTACAACGATATTCACGCCGTTGCTGAAGAATGCCACTCTCATGGAGCGAAACTCAAAGTCATCCTCGAGACGGCTATGCTTACTAAGCAGGAGATTGTAGCAGCGTCGTATTTGGCGTGTCTGGCAGGAGGAGACTTTGTCAAGACAAGCACGGGTTACGGCGGCGGAGGAGCAACAAAGGAGGACGTTAGACTGATGTACGAAGTTGCCAAGCAAGAGCGATTGGGTTGGGATGGAAAGCAGAAGGAAGTGAAAGCTAGTGGTGGGATCAGGAGTTTGGAAACGGTGCATCAGATGGTGAAGAATGGTGCGACAAGGGTCGGTGCAAGTGGAACAAAAGCGATCGTTGAACAGATTAGGAGTGGGAGTGCTGCGCCCACTTCCACTGGGTCTTACTAGGTTTGTTCACATCTTGTATCATCGCCTGTAACATCATCGAGAATATAATTCTATGCAAAATCACAGACATCTCACGGATTGAGCGTGTCCTCTAGTGGCCTTGAGAAGCGTTGCGTTGTAAAGCTGTTATTGACAAGGCTACAACTTTGAAGCGAGCAACTGAGCAGATGTCAGTTTCCGACCCGTACCCGTTTTTGATTGCTGGCTGGGCTGCTGCTCTTGCCTTCCATCATCCACCCACCTCCTCACACAATCGACCAACCTATCAACATCCTCCACCGTGTTGTCAGCATGAACACAGATCCTCACCCTATCTCCCCCCTTCGGTACTGTCGGATGACAGATCGGTCTAGCCAGTAGACCATTTGCTCTCAAATGCGCTGCCAGCTCCCTGGCTTGTGTCGTCAACAAAGGAATGATCGGCGAAGGCTGCTGCATTGACCATTTCACAAAGTCGTTCCCCTCTTCCTTCCCTAGGCTCTGGGTGTTAGGCTTAAGATGAGGCGGTAACGCGACCGTTCGCCTCCCCCCACCTGCTTTCTGGGCTTGGATAGCACGCTCAATCCCATCAACCAACCGCCTCGAATTGGCAAAAGTCCTCCTAGCCCTCCTTTCAGCATCCCCATCCTTTACCGAGATAAAACTAGCCTCGATCGATGCTAGCTGAGGATATCCGAGTGCAGTGCTGAAGATGAGCGGCCTTGCATAGTTGATCAGATAGTGCCTTGCTACTTGACTGCAGAGAACGATAGCTCCGCTTGCACCCCATGCTTTTCCGAAGGCCATGAGTCTTGCTTTGACTCTCGTGTCATCCTGGAGGTTGAGCGCATTGACTAGCCCTCGACCGCGCGAGCCATACAGTGCGGTAGAATGCGCTTCGTCAATCACAGCGCAGATTCGGTCTTCCGCGACAAATTCTGACAGGGTATCGAGTAGTTCGCGAAAGGGGCAGATGTCGCCATCCATAGAATAAACGCTTTCGACTGCTAGCCATATGTTTCTTTCCCCATCACTTGAGCTGGACGCAAGTGTTCCCTTCCGTGTGAGTTGTGAGAGGATCTCGCGGAGGTGAGAGACGGAGCTATGCCTGAAAGGGATTCGCAAGTGGGTAGGTACACGAGATCGACGCAGCCCATCGTGAACAGAAGCATGCACTAGCTCATCGTACAGCACTATGTCTTGAGGTTGAGGCAACGTGCTTAGTAGCGAAACGTTTGCTTCGTACCCAGAGTTGAAGAGCAATCCTGCTGTAGATGAAGCAAAGTGCTGCGTGAGCTCAGTTTCGATGGATTCGTGGATGGAAGAATTGCCATCGAGCAAACGCGAGCCTGCGCTGCCAAGTTGAGAGTTGAGCGAGGCATTGGAGTTGATGAGTGATGCGAAGTCTGCTCGAACGCGAGAAGACGTGGCGAGACTCAGATAGTTGTTGCTAGAGAAATCGGCGAGTGGTCTTTGGTTGCTGGAGGAAGGATCAGTTGAGGCGGATGTGGTAGGAAAGATGGTGAGTTGGCGGAGTGTTCCTTTGGCCGCACGCCTGTCTAGGGCCTTTTGGAGGTCGTCGTCTAGCGCCATCCTCTATTTTCATCGAGAGAGGGAGGAGGAAACTCTATGGTGGTGTGAGGAGCAGAGCCACGACGGACAAGATTGACATCAAGATTAGGTGCTAGTCTGTTGGAAGAAGACAGAGTTGACGCTCGGCTACTGTACAGTATCCTTGTTGGGGAGAGCGAGTTCAGAAAGGGTTCCCGCTGTCGGTCGTGTTCTGTTGGCCCGAGAACTTTGATTTCTGACCTAATACACAGCAGCTGTTGAGAAGAAAATAGCCGGGCCATCACTCCGAATTCTCTTCCCTGCCAAAAGCCTTTTGTCTGCTTGTTTGATCGGCAGTAGACACAATATTTGATGAAAATCCGAAGCAACGGCACGTTCCGTTGGAATCCAAGGCTTTGAAGCAGTCAGGCACAGACCATCACCTAGTTTCGCGTTTAATGACCGAATGGCTGTAGAGACTCGCTTGGAGCCACAAAAAAATAGACAAATGTCCTCCACAGTGAGAACAGTCACTTTTGCCCGTCAGTCACGTCACAGCACGGCACGGCAAACAATCTTTGGACCCCACACAGCCTTCCTCGTAACTATCAATTCTCGACAAACTGCATTCAACGGCGGTGCTCAGTTGCAAGACGTCACTCAGTCTATAGTTCTCTCTTCCCTTTCATCTACCACTACTTCGAGCATCATCCACGAGCTCGCAGAGGGCAGCACACCAGGATCGACCTTGCACACTTCATTGTGGCAGCAATCGCAAAGCCCACTTGTGATCATCTAAGGGGCTCAAGACCAAGCAGCACACCCCGCTTGGCTTTCCTTTACACCCAGAACGAGGACCCCACCACTGTCCGATACAGAGTAAGCAACGACGACCGCTCAACACTCACCTTGTCACCACAACACCGACTGATATCTCATAGCTCCTCCTCCGCCGTCGCCAAGGGATCAAGATGTCTTCGGCAGCGACGTACGATCCAGCCTTTGCCTCAGCAGGCACCTCCCTGGCTCCACTCATAGCTACCGACGATGCCATCATCTCAGGTCAAGCTGCTCGCGCCAGTATACCCAACCTCGAGGACCCATCAAATTCCACTGCGCTGACTCCACTCCGTGCGCACTACCTTAAAAAGACCCTCATCCGTCTACAGATGGAACGAGAAGTAGCTCAACTCAACACCAAGGATGCTCTCTCCACCTTCGGTCCACCTTTCCGAACGTCACCAGAAGCACGCAGAACAGATCTACCGCTGCTCCGATTCATGTTCCAGCACTTTGTTCTCACCTTCCCTTTCCTCAGGTCAGCACCGCCAAATTTCTTCTCAGATAAGGTGCAGGTCTTCTTTGACAAGTTCTTGGAGCGAAATATTAGTGGCACAGACGACAGAGACGAATCGACAAAGCGTAGAAAGCTTTCCAACAAATTCGAAAATTACTTTGTGCTGCTACTGGGTTCGGCGATCAAGGTGAAAGGTATTGGAGAGGATGTTGTACGCATTTCAGAACGCGATAGGCTCAAGATGAGTGCAGTCGAGGCGAGACGCAAGGCCGCATTGGGTAGAGCTGCTGCATCTCCCAAGCCTCTTGATGTGCCTTCGGATGAACGACCTTCCTCTTCGCATTCAGCCGCATCTTCTTCGTCGGGCTCGCCTAATTCCGGCTTCGATATCAACGTCGTATCAGTGCGCAACGTTGTTACGAAAGGAAGGTTGAGAAGTCGAGCGCATGAAGAGTTTATCATTCGCACACGAAGAGGGTATGGCCAGCCAGATATTTATGTCTCTCGCCGTTACGGCGACTTTGCTAGACTGGCAGAGACACTCAAGGTGGAGTACCCCGACGAAGGCATCAGGCCACCGCCGCCCAAAGATCGGACCAACACCGACATCGCTGACCCGTATCGCAAGCCGCCTGCTGATCCTTCGCAACCATCTGAAAGCGATGACGGGCACCCAAGAGCTTCGATCGATTCCACCAGCTCTCAAGGACGCATACCGCTGCCGACGGGTCCACTTGCAAGGGAGAAGAACCGGCTTACACTACGCGCCTATCTCCGGTCACTACTTGGCAGTCCAGCTATAGCTGAAAGTGCGGTTTTGATGGACTTCCTCACTGCAGAGCCAACCACCCTTACCCGCGCCGAAGAAGAGGATGCCGCGATCCGAGAAGGACTTGACCATGTCCGCGAGGAAGAACATAAACGCTTCTCCGACGAAGCCGCCAAACGAGCTCAAGAGCTGCAACAGCACCTCAAAGGGTTCAAGAAGGACTTGGTCCAGCACGATGGTCTCAGTCGTATCTTTGCTACTATCAAGACGACACCTCGCGTCGAAGATCTACCGGAGAAGTACAAGGCATTGCTCAAATGGGCACGCATCAGTCTCGCATCGACCATCTTCCAGATCTTTATGGGAAGCGATAACTCGTCCGAGATCTTTACGCAGATGAAGCGGATGCATGGTATGATGCCTTACTTTATGCTTCGTGGTATTCTGCGTATCTCAAACCCTATGGCGATGGTAAGAGGCGTGCTCGACATTTTCCTCGCTCAACCATTCGGACAACGCAGTTTGCTACAGCGTATGTTCTCAAGCAGCTTGCAGGACGAGGTGCGCGAGCTGGACGAAATTTGTGCTGCTATCTCTGCCAAAGTTGACGATCCGGTCATTTGCGAGAAAGTGCGATTGTTTGTGTACGCACCTTCCGAGATCCAAGCTCTGTACCGTCAAGACGCAGAGGAAGAACGCTTGGATCTGCTCACCACCATTCTTCGTTCGCAAGAAGCTCTCGCACTCGGTCGAGCGCAGATTCACCGCGTCGTGGAAGCAAGTCAAGCATACGAGGTGTACAAAGAGTACCGCCGTGGCCTCAAGAACCCTGACCTCGAAGATGAAGGTCCGCAAGACGACGATGCTTGGCTGTACGAGGATTTGCATGTCTTGATCAAGATGCTTACTCGTAAGCGCGATAAGGAGCAGCTTATTTCGTTGATCTTTGAGGGCGTTACTGCGGAGTTGTTGAAGGACATGGTTACGATCTTCTACTCTCCCCTTGCTCAGGTGTACAAACTTGCGAATATTGCTGATAGCTTGTCGGATCTACAAGCGTTTATTACGGACTTGATCAAGACGGTTGAAGCGAATGAGGAGCTCAGCTATACCGATCCCACACGCACAGTACAGGTATTCGTGGACCTTGTGGAACGACACGAAGGAAGGTTCTACAACTTTGTCCATCAGGTTCATTCGAAGGGTTCGGGATTGTTCGATGGGTTGATGCACTGGATTGAGCTATTCATCAACTTTGTTCGTGGGAATGAAAGGTCTGCTGAGGCTGTCTCGCAGCAGCCTAGTAAGGACTCGGATGAAGCGTTCAAACAACAGGGCGGGATTGGAGAGGTAGACCTGGAGATCTGCCTGCCTGCTGGTGGTGAGGAGCGGAAGAGAGCGTTGGATGAGATTGATGCGCTGGTGCTGTATGCTTATCGGCTCAAGTTTGTTCGCGAGCTAAAGCTGAGGAGGAAGCTGGCGGATCGAGAAGTTGCTGGACTGGCAGGTAAGCTGATTGGTACAGAGAAGAAGAGGAGAACCGATGGGCTTAGCGAGGAAGATGATAGCGCATTTGTCGGTGCTATGGTGGAGAACCTTGGTGTGGGTGATATCTTTACCGGAGAAGTGGCGGATGCAGAAGCAGAAGAGGAGGAACTCGAGACTTCTGATGAGGACGAGTCTGAAGATGAGGAAGATGTGGATGGAAACGGCCGACCTCGTCTGAGCCGCAACCAGTCTAGCGATAGTGACGAGACAGCGGAAAGTGATGAAGCAGCTGCACCACGATGGAGACCCACTCCTTCTCGCCAGACCACTCTCACTCAAGAAAACCTAAAGACCGTGGAGAAGGACCTCCCAACCCCGCCACAAGCAGCGTCCACAGAGGCGAGTCACGGAGAAAAGGCCCGCAGACGTCGCAAGATCCCAGCACCGAAAGCACCGGAACTCAAAGTGCTGCCGGAGATGCTTCCACTATTCGTGGAGATGGTCAGGCCTCTGCTTCGGCCAGCCAGGACGGCTAGCGCTTCGATCTATCGTTCGAACAGCTATGATCCCCATCAACAGCAGCAGGGGCAGCAGCAGCGCGGAGGCATCGATCGATTGACGACTAATTTGCAGGGCATAGACTTGGCAGCGACGTCGAGTCCGACTTCGTATTTTTCTTCGCCGTTCGCGACTCCAAGGGGCAATGGCAGTCAGGGTCAACAGGGCGACGAGCGATTACCGGGAGAGTACAAGTGGTAGTCATTGCTCATCTTTCATCATTGTTTCTTCATCGATTGAAAGGATCATGCACCAGAATGCCGATTTTCGACTTGTGATTGAATCGTTTTCCGATGCTTTGGTGTGCTATAGTTGAAGATACGTCGGCATTCCAATCGGACTTAAAAGGCTTACCCGAGACACCGATAGAGCAAGGTCGTGAATAAACAACATGCCTACAAAATGTATGAAAGGTCGTCATGACAACGAATCAGGAGCATTGCAGGAAGTACTCGACTCATCCCAGTATGGCGTGCTAAGAAGAAGATGCTAAGGTATATATATGCCCTTGTAGTTACACTCATCCATAGCAATGATCAAGTATTCAAGGAGTCATATACCTATGGTAAAGAAGCCTGATCGTGGCTTCGAAGAGGTGTATCACGCTTTGCTATATTTTAACTGCTATATAAGGCATCTGGGCTTTGTTGAGGTGTTGTGAAGTGGCATTTTTCAAGTTTGTTACAGTTTGAGTACAAACAAATTCGCCAGCGGAGATTTCGAAAGATTGCGTGCTTGAAAAAGCCTTGAGGCAGCTGTGTTGTGCTGGTTTTTCTTCCTGATGCCACGGTCGGCGTGATATCAGGAAGATCTCTCTTTGCCTGCAGCCAAGTTCTTCTCAAAAAAGTTAGATCCGGATCCGACAAGAACTTCTGACTTGTTGAGGCTCGAATGGCCCCTACACCTACCTTGTCCTCTTCTACCATCAACTCTATACTACCCCTTGCTCTACCGAAGATGCACGCTATGCTCAAGTCAGGTCTGAGCACGGCCGCCAAGGTCTCTCGCTCGCGCTTCACCGCCGGTGCTGTCCGTACGCTAGCCACCGTCTCCGACTCGCCCGTTCAACATGGTGCTTCCGGTTCCAGCAGCCACAAGGTTGTCGTCATTGGTGGTGGTTCAGCTGGTATGGCTGTGAGTCACCAGCTCATTCGATCCGGTGCCTTTTCTCGGGATGACATTGCCATTGTTGACCCTTCCGAATGGCACCACTATCAGCCGGGTTGGACTCTTGTAGGTGGCGGTCTCAAGGACAAGCGTGATCTTCGCCGACCTCTCGCCTCCCTCCTCGATCCTAAGCTCAAGCACTACGCTTCTTCCGTCGACACATTCGCCCCTGACCAGAACCAGATCACCCTCGCAAACGGCAACACTATCGCATACGATCAGCTCGTCGTCGTCCCCGGTCTTAGCATCAACTATGACACTATCAAAGGGTTGCCCAAAGCCCTTGCTGACTCTCACTCGCTCGTCTCCACCATCTACGGCTACAATACATGCGACAAGGTTTTCGACACCATCTTGAAGCTCAAGTCGGGCAAAGCGATCTTCACTCAGCCTGCCGGTGTGATCAAGTGTGCCGGTGCACCTCAGAAAGCCATGTGGTTGGCATTGGACCTCTGGAAGAAGGATGGTCTCTACAACTCCGCTGACCCTTCCAACTCGCCTATCTCGATAGACTTTGCTACCGGTCTGCCCGTCATGTTTGGTGTCCCCAAGTACAGCGAGCGTCTGAACGAGCTTCGTCAGCAGCGCGGTGTCGAGGGTTTGTTCGAGCACGACCTTGTTGCGATCGAAGGCAACACTGCTGTTTTCAATCGACCCAACGGTGCCGAGCAGGTGCGAAAGCAGTTCGACTTGCTTCATGTCACACCAAAGATGGGTCCGCTTGCAGTGATCAAGAACAGTCCGTTGGCAGATGGAGCTGGATTTGTGGATGTCGATCAGGGAACAACACGACACAAGAGATTCGACAACGTGTGGAGTATTGGTGATGCTTCTTCGTTGCCCACCTCGAAGACGGCTGCTGCTATCACGGCTGAGGCTCCGGTATTGGTGCGTAACTTGGGTCAGGCGTTGGAGGGTAAGGAACCTGATGCGGCGTATGACGGATACACGTCGTGCCCATTGCTCACTGAGTACGGCAAGGTGATGCTTGCGGAGTTCAAGTACGGTGGCCAGCCCAAGGAGACCTTCGGTTCGCTTTTTGGTATTGACCAGGGTGTGCCAAGAAGGGCATTCTATCATTTGAAGAAGGACTTGTTCCCTTGGGTCTACTACAACTCGTACGTCAAGGGAACATGGAGTGGACCTAAGGGATTCTCTTTCCTTGCAGCGCCAATCAGCCCAGAAGCTGTTGCAGGCAAGCGTTCTTTCTCTTCCCTTAGCAACTCCCGCAACAGCAACACAATCCCTGGCTCGCGACGAGGCTTTGCAACCTCCAGCGTCGGTCTCCGCAACACCCCCGCTCGTCGACCACGCGATCCCCTCGACGCTTCCCCCGATGCTACGCGACACACCCTCCCCACAGGCGAAACCTTCATCGTCCGTCCTCCCCCCACCGCCACCCCCGTCCGCTCCACTATCTATCAACCTCAACCCCTCCTCAACGCCCAACCCTCCTCTCCCGCCGACGAATCTTCCCTCCCACCCGCACTCCGACCTCGCTCGCATTGCGCCTCGTCACAGAACAAATCCTCTGCTATCACACCCAAGCAGATCGCAGAGATCCAGCGCCTGAGGAAACAGGACCCAATCGTCAACACCAAATCCAAACTTGCACAGATGTTCAATTGCAGTCCACTCTTCATCTCCATCGTCGCACCCCTACCTAAAGCGGTGAAGCAGGTGAAGAAACAACAGGATGATCTGAAGAAGCAATCTTGGGGTCTGAACAAGAGAGTTGCTCGTGCTGAGAGGGAGGAACGTCGTTTGCTCTGGTAGATTCACCGCCTTGCATCAGTGTAGCTTGTAATATATACTTCCTTTCCAGACTACACCGACCACAAAAAGAAACCTGTGAGCAGAAGGGTCTGTGACCTCAATTAGGCCCGGAGTTGGACAACGAAAGATGGTTCAATTAGATCGTGTGGATAGAAAGTATATGCGTATATGTATACCACACAAGGCGAGTCTATCACATCCAGAATCACGGTGGCCGCTTGGCGTAGTGGTATCGCGCTTGCTTTGGGATTGACTTGAAAGAGTTCAAATTGTGAATGCAAGAGGTCACGAGTTCGATCCTCGTAGCGGCCCTGATCCCGAAATTTTTTTTGCCATTTTGTTGGCCTCCATGAACGCGGAATCACGAGGGGAAGGCCCTCCAACTTTTTCGAGCAAGATTTATCAGGAAATGGCTGAGTAATGGTGATTTTTAGATTTTCGAGATGGTGTCACTGACAGGTGATTACTGTCATGGGCCTGGATGCTCAAGAAGCAGGAGGGTCATGGGTTCATATGGAAGGAGCACAGGTATCGAAGACCTAGTCGACACCAGTAGAGAGCATGGTTGTAGTGCAGTCTCCATGGAGACCATGGACTCCTATGGACTCACATGCAAAGGAGGGCCAAGCACAGCCACGAGGAGGACCAAGCTCAAGGAGCAGGCACAGCCACGAGGAGGACCAAGCTCAAGGAGCAGGCACAGCCACGAAGAGGACCAAGCTCAAGGAGCATGCAGATGGTTATCACTCAGGGGCTCGAGAGACAAGAGCCAAAGGAACTGTCACTGATCAAAGGAGGAGGAGCAGTGTCGAAGGAGTCGACACCAGGTCATGAGGAGGAGGAGCAGTGTCGAAGGAGTCGACACAGCTCAAGAGGCACAGGGGTGCCAAGCAGGAGAGGCCCCTGAGCAGTACTCGATGAAGAAGGTACTCTCTGGAGAGAGAGCAGGAGCAGCATCGCTGGCGATGCTGAGAAGAGGTATATAACCATGCTTTCTCATCAATAGGTCGAGTGGATCCTCATCCACTCTACTCACCATACAACTAGTCAATACTTTAGAAACACAAGTACTCATTAGTTACAGTCAGCATAGCAGCAATCTATCAAGGTTGCTCCTCATCGTAGTGTGTGTGTTGTATCACCACTACCTGACATCCGAAGGCGCCCATAGCAGGTTAGCGGTCCGGATATCGATAGAACCAAAGGCAGTAGTCCACTGTGGTCCGGGGATCACTTCAAGCATCAAGTCAACACACTGGACACTCGTGTTGACGCCACCAACCTTATCACCAACACCATCAACCTCATTATCATCGACATCACCAATCTCATCACCAACACCATCAACCTCATTATCATCAACATCACCAATCTCATCACCAACACCATCAACCTCATCATCATCAACACTCACACCAGACCTTGGTGTCATCATAACATTGATATTGATCGTGCCGAGCTACCCCTGAACGGAGTGTCCACAGAGGTCAGCCGAAACCTACGATAGTATATACAACAAACGCCACCTGCTGTCACTGCACAACTTGATAGTCACCGATACCGAGACAATAGCTGTCACACAGTTTGATAGTCACCGAGTATCTCGACAGACCGACCTGGGTTTCAGGCGCGAGACCCCTGACATTAGAGTGGATCGTTCAAGCAGCTCCTCACGATCACCATGACGGACCCAGACCTCAACAATAAGCTCGATAGACTACTCACTCTATTGGAAGCACAGCTAGAGCTTACCAGACAGGGTCATCGAGAGGAACGATTACAACGAGCTCAACTGAGCAGGGAGGAGACAATGGACCTCTCTCACTCAGAAGACCAAGCAGGAGGAGGAGATGAGTCTATGATAGGAGACCCACATACTCCTACTCCAGCTCCACGACCAAGACGATCAGTCTCATTCAACCTGGATGAGCAGGAGGACATCAACTACGAGAAGTATGCTTCACCTACTGGGCCAAGATATGTCAAGACTAAGCTGGACCCCTACAGCAGGACTAGGACGGACCCTTACCCCCTGGACCACGAGGAGGATACCAGCATCATGGCAGAGCTTAACCAGTCAAAGCCCATCGCCACCCCCTTTCCAAAGTTCAATCCCCGAGACATGGAGATCTTCATTCTAGAAGCCGAAGCATGGTTTAAGTTCAACCAGGTGTATGAGCAGTCTAGGATGATCAATCACATGGGTGCTCAACTGGAAGGGACAGCAAGAGAGTGGTGGACCTCCAAGCTCCGTATTGATAGAGCTAGAGAAGGAAGGTTGTTCAATGATTGGCACTACTTCACAGAGCGACTGTCAGAGCAGTTCAACCCACGCAATGCTAGGATGGAGGCATACAACAAGCTGTTGGCTCTCAGACTCACAAGTGATGCTCCTGGTGCCGCCACATGTCATGTAGAGCGGTTCAGAGACTTGGAAGGACAGGTCAACCTAGATGACAATGAGCTAGTGATTGATCTCTTCAGAGGTAGTCTCACTCGTAGCATACAGGAGAAGTTCGAGAGGAATCCACCTGGGAAGAGATGGGAGTGGTATCGAGAGGTCGAGGAGATCGATCAACAGAGGATGCTACTACAGCAGTCCTCGGCTAGACACTCACTTCCAAGTGCCACGTCACCTCCACTAAGAACTGGGTCTCGGCCAAATCAAAGTTCGATCCCCATCCGACAACCCACTCAAACTTATCCAGCTCGATCACCATCACAAGCAACTACACAAGCAACTATACAAAACCTAAACCGACCCCTTCCTCATCATCCCACCCAACCCTCGAAGCAAGGAAGCCCTGCTCCATCAGGTATCAACACCTGTCATGTATGCAAAGGTATCGGCCATTGGGCCAGAGACTGCCCCAGCAGGAGGGTAAACCCTCTTAGCTCTCGACCCATGGGACCAAAGGTTATGGTCACCACAGCAGACCCCTTCGAGGAGGCCACCGACTCAGGAGATGGCCACACAGGCAGTACTGAGACGGGTGACCCCGAGGCCATGGACCTCAGCTCATACCAGCAACCCATGGACCCCGATCACGAGGAGGAGCACGATGATGATGACGACGAGGGAAACGTCAGTGGGGTGATGCACTGATGGCATGCATTGCTCTACAAACCTCCTCGCCATCACTCTGTATATATCAAGATTGTCAAGTATGTTTCTCTACCAGTGGAGGCAAAGCAGTACTGGAGCTCTCTGGAATGGTTCAAGACCATCCTGCTCGGATACTAGCTGATACCGGTGCTGGTTTGTCCATAGTCTCAGATTCTTTCATTAGTAAGTACCAAATACCCACAAAACCCATAAAAACAAGATCGATCCATGGTGTCACCGGGCACCAACTCTCCATCAATAGTTCTGCGAGCATGCAGGTATATATTGGTACACACAATCTGGGTGTGGTCAAAGCTTCAGTGGCCGACACTGTGGACTATGACCTCATCCTGGGGTTCACTGAGCTACGGAGGCTCAAACCCACCATACAATGGGATACGGGCCAGCTGGGGTTCAAGACTCAGGAGCAGGACCGACCCCCTAGGAGACCCCCTGAAGCAGCAAGAGCAGGGGACCTAACCATGAGGAGACCAACCCTTCATGGTAACGAGTTTGTCTCAGCAGAGCGCATACTACGAGCAGCTCTGGAAGATGGACCCATAGGGTTCATGCTGTTAGAGGAGCCACCATCATCACTCCCGGCCTTTGGTTTTGTACCTACAGGCGCAGACAAAGGAGTCGAGATGGAGGTGGAGGTAGATAAGGTGGTGACGGCTGCAGACATACCAAAGCCATACCAACACCTGCGAGATGTGTTTGATGAGGTGGAAGCAGACAAGCTGCCCCATCATACCGAGCATGATCTCCACCTCGAGTTGATAGAAGGAGGTAAGCCACCTCAAGGGCCCCTATACCTTAAGGGACCCAAGGAGATGTCCGAGTTGAGGAGATACTTGGATGAGAACCTTGAGAAGGGGTTCATAAGACCATCGAAGAGCCCGGCACGATCACCAGTGCTCTTCGTACCAAAGAAGGATGGAGGTCTCAGACTCTGTGTGGACTACAGAGGTCTCAACGAGATCACTGTCAAGAACAGGGCACCATTGCCCCTCATCGAGGAGCAGCTGTTCTTACTCAGGAAGGCAAGGATCTATACCAAGCTAGACCTTAGAGCAGCATACAACCTCATCCGGATTGCTAAAGGAGATGAATGGAAGACAGCTTTTGGCACTCAGTTGGGACTCTATGAGTACCTAGTGATGCCCTTTGGCCTAGCCAATGCTCCGGCTCACTTCCAGTCATTCATCAATGACATCTTCCGAGACATCATCGGAGTATATGTAGTGGTATACTTAGATGACTTCCTGATCTTCAGTGACACTGAAGAGGTACATGTGAAGCATGTCACCGAGGTCCTCACTCGCTTAAGGAGCAACAGGCTCTTTGCTAAGCTGTCAAAGTGTGAGTTCCACACCAAGACAGTTGAGTTCCTGGGGTACATCATCAAGCCAACGGGCATAGAGATGGACCCAGAAAAGGTGCGCACTGTCAAGGAGTGGCCAATGCCGGAGTCAATCCATGACATCCAGAGGTTCCTGGGTTTTGCCAACTTCTATCGAAGGTTCATAGCCCACTTTGCTCGCATAGCCAAGCCCTTGACAGCACTGGTAAAGCCTATAGAACGGTTCAAGAAGTTCGAGCTACCAGAGGAGGCCCAACAGGCCTTCCACAAGCTCATCCAGGCCTTCACATCAGCAGGAGTGCTTCAGCACTTCGACTACCACCTTCCAACAAGGTTGGAGACTGATGCAAGTGACTTTGCTATAGCAGGAGTACTCAAGCAGGAGCATGAAGGACGATGGCATCCAGTGGCCTTCTACTCTAGGAAGATGTCTTCTGCCGAGAAGAACTATGAGATCCATGATAAGGAGCTCCTAGCTGTGGTCGCCTGCCTCACTCAGTGGCGACACATGCTAGCTGGACTACCGAACCAACTGGTCATCCTCACTGACCATGAAGCCCTCAAGTACTTCAAGTCACAGAGACGCATCACAGGTCGACAAGCTCGATGGGCAATACTACTAGCAGACTTCGACTTCATATTGCAGTATCTACCAGGAGACAAAGGTGGTGAACCCGATGCTCTCACCAGAAGGACAGACATGCAACCAGCCGGTGAAGAGCAGGATCACAATGTGAGGCAACTACTGCCTCCTCGAGTGTTCAAGGAGACAGCAGACCATGACTTGCTCCTAGTGGCCCCCATGATCTCGATGGAGTCCATAGCATCAAAAGGTCTCAAAGACCTGGTCAAGATCTTCCAGCCCTTAGACCAAGAGCTACAGGAGATACATAGGAAGAAGCCCTTCGAGGTCAGGGATGACCTATGGTACAGTGGAGGAAGGTTGGTTATCCCCAAAGTGATCATGCCAGGGAGGACCAACAACTGACACTCAAGGAGTGCCAAAGAGGTAGATGGACAGTCTCTCTCTGTAGAGCATCTGCGATTCATGGTGATGACCCAATGCCATGATGGTATCACTGCTGGACACGTAGGAAGAGATGCTACCATCAAGGCAGCACAACGACATTACTGGTGGCCAAACATGACAGCTTGGATTGCAGACTATGTAGCAAGTTGTCCTGTATGTGCTAGGTACAAAGCTCCTCGTCATCGTCCATATGGTTTGCTACAGCCACTAGCAACCCCAGACAGGCCCTGGGGCTCCATATCCCTCGACTTCATTGAAGGACTACCACCATCAAAGAAGTATGACTCCAAGACCTATGACTCTATCCTAGTCATCGTCGACAGGTTAACCAAGTTTGCCATACTAGCTCCAACCCATAAGACAGTCACAGCCAAACAGACTGCAGTATTGCTATATGGACACATGGTTAGACTCTTCGGATATCCAGATCACATGGTCTCGGACCGAGGCAGGCAGTTCATATCAGGAGCATGGAAGGCATTTGCAGAGCAAATGGGTGTGAAGCACTCACTTAGCACAGCCTACCATCCTCAAACTGATGGTCAGACAGAGAGAGTCAATCAGGTCATAGAGCAATATCTCAGGATGTACTGCAACTATGAGCAGAATGACTGGGCCAACCTGCTGGACACTGCAGCCTTTGTATACAACAACACAGTCCACAACAGCATTGGTGTCTCACCATTCTTTGCATGCTATGGATGGAACCCCAAAGCTCATCCTGACATCCCTCAACGACTAGGAGTCAATGATCCAGGTCGCTTCGAGTACCTCATGGATGGAAAGGAGCGTTGCAAGTACCTCCAGGAGCAGATCAGAGAGGCACAACGTAGATCAGTAAACCAGTATAACAGGAAGCACAAGGACATCGAGTTTAAGGTGGGTGATATGGTCTATATCAACCGACGAAACTGGAAGACAAGGAGACCCACACCCAAGTTAGACACCCGGTTTGCAGGACCCTACCCAGTTCAGGAATGGGTAGGACGCCGAGCTTATCGAATCACATTGCCAGCAAACCTTAGGGTGCATGATGTGTTCCATGTCTCCATGCTCGAGCCAGCAAGAACAAGTTCTCTTCCTCAACGTGCTGAACAGCCCACCATACCATCACTTCCAGATGAGGACCTCGACTTCGAAGTCGAAGCACTCATCGACAAGCGTTCACACAATGGGACTACGGAGTACAAGGTGTTGTGGAGAGGGTACTCAGAGGAAGCTGCTTCATGGGAACCAGTAGAGAACCTCAACTGTCCCGACCTCATCCAGGAGTATGAGGTGTCGGAGGGGGGACGAGTGAGTAGACAGAGTGGAGAGAGGAGGAGAGAACAGGAGGAGTAGAGAGAGGAAGAGGAAGGAGGATAGGAGGAGAGAACAGGAGGAGTAGAGAGAGGAAGAGGAAGGAGGATGACGTTGAGAGAAGGAGGAAGGATGATGTTGGCGATGTTGTCAAGGAGGAGGAGTCAGCATGAACCAGACCAGAGCATGCCTCGATGGAGCTCGGCTCTTAAGAGGGGGGTAGTGTCATGGGCCTGGATGCTCAAGAAGCAGGAGGGTCATGGGTTCATATGGAAGGAGCACAGGTATCGAAGACCTAGTCGACACCAGTAGAGAGCATGGTTGTAGTGCAGTCTCCATGGAGACCATGGACTCCTATGGACTCACATGCAAAGGAGGGCCAAGCACAGCCACGAGGAGGACCAAGCTCAAGGAGCAGGCACAGCCACGAGGAGGACCAAGCTCAAGGAGCAGGCACAGCCACGAAGAGGACCAAGCTCAAGGAGCATGCAGATGGTTATCACTCAGGGGCTCGAGAGACAAGAGCCAAAGGAACTGTCACTGATCAAAGGAGGAGGAGCAGTGTCGAAGGAGTCGACACCAGGTCATGAGGAGGAGGAGCAGTGTCGAAGGAGTCGACACAGCTCAAGAGGCACAGGGGTGCCAAGCAGGAGAGGCCCCTGAGCAGTACTCGATGAAGAAGGTACTCTCTGGAGAGAGAGCAGGAGCAGCATCGCTGGCGATGCTGAGAAGAGGTATATAACCATGCTTTCTCATCAATAGGTCGAGTGGATCCTCATCCACTCTACTCACCATACAACTAGTCAATACTTTAGAAACACAAGTACTCATTAGTTACAGTCAGCATAGCAGCAATCTATCAAGGTTGCTCCTCATCGTAGTGTGTGTGTTGTATCACCACTACCTGACATCCGAAGGCGCCCATAGCAGGTTAGCGGTCCGGATATCGATAGAACCGAAGGCAGTAGTCCACTGCGGTCCGGGGATCACTTCAAGCATCAAGTCAACACACTGGACACTCGTGTTGACGCCACCAACCTTATCACCAACACCATCAACCTCATTATCATCGACATCACCAATCTCATCACCAACACCATCAACCTCATTATCATCAACATCACCAATCTCATCACCAACACCATCAACCTCATCATCATCAACACTCACACCAGACCTTGGTGTCATCATAACATTGATATTGATCGTGCCGAGCTACCCCTGAACGGAGTGTCCACAGAGGTCAGCCGAAACCTACGATAGTATATACAACGAACGCCACCTGCTGTCACTGCACAACTTGATAGTCACCGATACCGAGACAATAGCTGTCACACAGTTTGATAGTCACCGAGTATCTCGACAGACCGACCTGGGTTTCAGGCGCGAGACCCCTGACAATTACAGTTGAGGGAAGTAATTTGCCCAAGGTGCATGAGGAAGTGAGGACTGCTAATGAATGGCATGCATGTGATATGCACATCAGTTGCCATGACAATTCAGGAGCCGAGCATAAGGACACAACCAGGAGAATGCAATGAGTACATGACCAATGCAAGGAGGGGGGGGGGGGCAGTGTTTCTAGAGGTCATGCCAAGTCATATATATGTACCTGTGTAGCAGAGCATCTGTAGAAATAATAACAATAACAACATGATTACAAAGCAAGAATCCTCAACTATTACTGATCCGACAACTGTCAACCATGGCAACGACGATGTCTTGCACCCAGTACATCCCTTTCGACTAAGCAAATTTGTCGCCTGACCTACCGAGCATGCCCCCAATTAATCGCACAAGCGCCAACTGTATGTCACAGGGTCAGAAGGATAGTGCAAGAGAGTGCACCAAATTGATCAATGGCAGTCATGGGAATGTCGTGCAATGGAGCAGTATATGAAGGGTGCACAACAGATCAATATATGAAGGGTGTGCCAGATTGATTGGTGCCAAACCATTGGGGATCAATGAGATTAATCAGGCTGGCAGCACATATGAATTACAAGATTGATCAAACCCCAGGGTTCCAGATTAATCTCATGGGGATTGGTCAGAATCAGTCAGATCAGCATGTCTCAACAAGTTGGCCAATACAAGCAAGTACTAGTAGACTCAGGAAAGAAGGTACTGGCATTGGAAGGAGAGGCACTTGGAGATAACCATAGGAGGTAGTGGGGAACTGAGCTCAGCATCATGCAGACAGTTACTGCTCAAGGGGTGTGTGCATATAGCCACACAGGCCCAAGCACAGGGGGTGACCACATGACCAAGTGGTTGGTCATGAGGACCAACAGGTGGCTAAGGGGATTCATGAGATAAGGATGGGGAGGTGGTCACTGAGAAGGGAGCAGTGAATGGATTGGCTAAAGCAATGAGGAGGAGTTGTGTCGAAGGGGTCAACACACATCATCAGGTGGAAAAGGAGCAGGAAGGTGAAAGGAGCAGTGTTGCAAAACCAGTATGCTGCACAGACAGTAGGGGCACAGCACCCATGGGATTGATGCTAGCAGGGGGAATGAGATAGGTGTTGCAGGCAACACCAATTGAATGCATAAATACTCCTGTTCTCACCATAGCCTACAAGTGGATCCCCATCCACTCTTTACTCTATCTACTTTACTTACTTACTCAGTTATGTACCATTGCAATAGCAGTGCTTTTGCAATGACTCTCAATGTGTGTGTTGTATCACCATTAGTTGACAACTGTAGGTGGTGTTCTTCAACACTTGCAGTCCTGTGCCCTTACTGTAGGTGGTGTTCTTCAACACTTGTGGTCCAGTCCCTTACTGTAGGTGGTGTTCTTCAACACTTGCAGTCCAGTCCCTTGCTGTAGGTGGTATTGCTTGACCTTCAGCAAGCCTGGTAGTCAGCTTGCAGCAGAGATGAGCATGACCAACATTGTCGATGGGGAGGTTTGGTGTGTGTTGAGTGGTGTTGCGAAGGGGACCATCATACCCAAGGAGGCACCCAAATTGGATCATGCCCATCACCTGGTATATAAAGTGAGGGTCAGGGTAGCCACACAGCAAGTCTTGCCAGGCATGCAGTTGTGCCTGCATAGAACCAAAGCAGGCAGGGGAGGTGGAGGGGTCAAAGACATCACAAGTCAAGGAGGTGTTGGGACGTTGTGGTGGGTGGTGGAGGCGAGAGGTGAGGAGAAGAGTTAGGCATTGGTCTGCTGAGGGGACTGCTAATGCCTTGCAGGCAGAGGTGGGAGGTAGAGCCTGGACCAGCTGTGGAGAGAGCTGGCAGGTGAAGGAGTCTGAGTGCTGAGCCTGAGTCTGCTGCAGAGATGATGAAGAGGGTGTGAAGGTCTGGGGCCAAGCCTGGGTCTGCTGTGGAGATGAAGAAAGCTCATTGCTGGAGCTGGACTGAGCTTGAGTCTGCTGCAGAGACAGAACCCAGTCATTAGGAGGTAGTTGTCAGGGGTCTCGCGCCTGAAACCCAGGTTGGTCTGTCGAGATACTCGGTGACTATCAAACTGTGCGACAGCTATTGTCTCGGTATCGGTCTCGATGAGCTTATTGCTCAGCGACTATCAAGTTGCGCAATGGGTGGCATTCGTGTATATACTATCGTAGGTTTCGGCTGACCTCTGTGGACACTCCGTTCAGGGGTAGCTCAGCACGATCAATATCAATGCTTAGATTATGATGA